CGTGTGGCAAATGTGCTCGCAAAAATTTGTGTCCCTGTAGAAGAGCTAGAATAAAGTGTTGCTAGTACTGTAAATGCAAAGGTGGTGATTGTTGTAAAAACCCAATCACTGAGTAAATGCTGCTGATTGATGGAAATACAATTTATTGTTAATTTTCTGATAAAATCACAACTTCTAAACAATATGAAATCAAAGTCAATATATTTGACCTATTATTATGAAGTTACACGCAACTAAAGTGACCTGCCAGGTCAAAGTTCAAAACTGTAGTTTAGATGCCTTCAAAAATTTGAACCAAAAGTGAGTAAAACTAATTATATATGAATAATTTGAGACCGAAACCAAGTTTTTACACTCAGTAGACTTAGGGAAAACTTGTAAATATTAGAACAAATAGAAATATGCATAGTCCGAACAATTTAAAAAAGAAAGCAACTCGCTACGACCGGCGGTTCCTAATTTGCATATTTAAGCTAATTTGCATATGACCGGAAAATGTGACTGAGACGTAATTTTAGGAATTTAATTCCCTTGTCATGTATGCTCATTTAGAATGAAAACCCCTTTATTTGCTATTTCTTTATACCATCTAGCTTAATTTCAAAATACCCCTACCCTATGAAAAGGAGCGTGGTCATTTTTGGGCTGTTCGTTTGGGATAGAGATTTTGGCACACATCCCATGTTATTCCTAGGGGTTCATATTAGTCTATAACAGTTGAGAAATTCTCTCCTAAATGAAGTGCATACAAAGTCAGGTCCTTGATTATTCTCACCATAATTAACAAACTATCATCTGACTTCATTAAAATTTCAATCATTAAAAATGTAGAGAAATCTGAAGTCATGATATTGAACACCTCACCGTCTAGCTAATAAACAAATTAACATCACTGTGAATAACCAAATAATTCGGCAAGTAACTCCGTACAAACACTTAGGATTACTTATTGACAACAAATTAACATCATGACAAATTGACAACCACACATTCGTAGACTAACATCTAATTATTGGTTGACGCATCGCAATTTTTTTTTACAATACACTAATCTTACCACCTAGGCTACTGTTCATCCATCGGGGGTGATAGGAGCATCCAGAATGTCAACAAAATTCCGAAGCTGCAGAACACTTCGATTAATCCTCAAAGTACATTCTCACACATCTACTTTTCTCACCTCATGACTGTCCCTCAACGGGTGAAGGTTCCAACTTGGCTGTCTCGCTTTTAAATCTCTTAAAGACTTAGCTCTACAATATTTATGCCGACGGCTTTCGTTCCTCCCTCAAAGAACTTTCACTATCCGGTGAATATCCCTCAATCATCTTAACGTTTCCAGTTCAAAATATTTAAAATGCAGCTTCAGCTGGCTTGCTCAAACTTTTCTCAACTCGCTTCCATCTTCGGTAAAACAGACTCACTCCTTGGCAATATTTAAAACCAGATTCAATCCCTTTATCTTCAATTCCCATTGAATGTATTTGGTATTCCCTATCAGTTTATTGATGTATGTATGTATGAGTATGATGTATGACCCAATTTTATTTTAACAGTCATTTATTTTCTCTCTTTATGTATCGCTTTTGAGTTATCAAAGTTGGCCCCTACGTATCAGCTATGCTGGAAAGGATCACCTACTAAAAATATGGTTGAAATTTTAAAAAAGAAAAAAAAAATAGCTTAGCCTAAGCCCTTTTTTGAACATTTGTTAAAAGCCTGGGTAAATCTATGGGAAATTCAAATTCCGGCAGCAAATATAGATTTTACTTGAGAATCAAAATTCACTGGTTTTGCAATACGGGCAAAGTTCAGATATACATTACGGTTGTATTTAGAATGAATGCATCGTTGAAGTGATTTGCATACGCATCATCGTTCAATATTGATTGATATAGGTTCATACAACATTATGGATACACATATGGAAACGTTTTTGTCACTTTTTATCATTTGCTAGTCCAGCTATTCCGAAAGCAGCGAACTGAGGTCAAATTAAAAACATTGGGTTTGTTTCATTTTCATTATGGGGTTAAATACTAAAAAAAACTTAATTTGCACAGTCAATATTCTTTTGTTAAAACTTGTAGTATTTGAACACATATTTAACAGTACACATAGAACAATGTAAAGTGAACAAATTCTGAGATCTCCCTTCCCCTAGTCCACACTTTCGTGTTGGCAGGATTGGCTTAGCCTACGGTACACCCCTACGGTACAGTAATTACATCAATCAGCCTACCTATGTCCATTGGGGGAGGGGAGTGGGTAGCTTTATGATTTAAAAAACAAAAGACACAGGGAATGAATATATAGTGTATGTATATACATACATAAATTATATATACAATTATTTATATAATAATAATGTATATATACGATAGAATATCTGTCTCTTATACACATCTAGATGTGTATAAGAGACAGGATTTTATATTTTCTTATTTTCCGATAAAACTACCCAACCAATCATACTAAGTTTTATATCAGCTTCAAGCTTATTATATTCTCTCCACAAATCCACTTGGGCCAATTCGAACAAACAAATAGTCTGTGAGTGAGGGAGTAAGAAACGAGCTCGGAACAGCCAAAAACCTCAAATTTCTTGAAATTCCCTGTCTAAATCGGCGTGAGGAGCTGTTATAAATCGGCGTATTCCGACAAATCTGTAGGGATTTTTTTCATTTTTTCTTCACGAATTGGTAGATTAATATTTTTTACAACATAATCCGCTTGGGCCATTACAAGAAAATCATAGACTTTGTACCAAAAACGTACTTTTGTGAAAAAAATCCAGTTTTCTCCAATGGTTAAGGCGACCTTGGAGAGCAAATGATACAACGTTTCCATATGACTCAGCTATTGATATGTAGATGAATATACTCGAAACACAATGGAGCATGCGCAACATGGTTTTTGTGGTATTTTTCTCGAACACTGCGATACTATAAATGAGCGACGGCCGAGTCTGGAGGAGTTCTTTATCAACCATAGATCGTGTCGGAGTCCGATTCAAGATCTGACTACACATTTTTTTTATACAATATTAAGTTGAGGTAAGTTTAATATTATATCTTTTTCAGAAAATATATTTTGTAAAAACGTCATACTATTCTGAATTAGGCCTATTGTACAAAAAGTTAAATACTCAACTGTCCGAATTTGATCTGTTACCCACCGTCAGCCACACATTAAACCCGTCTATATTGATTTACATTAGTTTCCTGTTAAAGAAAGAATTACATTTCGACAGGGAACAGTCATATTGCTCCTTGATTTTGAAATTTTTCCTGAATTAGCAGGATATAAATTTCTGTTTTATTATTTCTGACTTATTATTAACTTTAGTCGTATTAAAATATTTATTCAGGTTTAAGTTTAGAATACACAGTAAGCACACAATAAACTTTAATTGACTTTAATGAAAGACAATAGTAAAGTATTTTAAAACAGAATTGCATTGATTGCTGTCTGAAGCGCAGAGATTTGTCATTGATTTCTTTGTTACTGATGTCAAAACAAAAGGCCTATAGTTCTAGGTTCAATTTTTTATGACACAGAACATTTTCTCGCAATATAACTTTCCTCCCTACGCCTCATGAAGAAAATTAGTGTATAGAGCATCTGGTACTGGTACTGGTATGTGAATTTAATAATGCGCCTCTTCCTTGTGGTTATAAGTAAAAATCTTTTCCCTGGTTATGCTTTATGTGTTGCTGCTAGTAATCAACGCAGGAGCAGGCAACCCCACCGGGTACCCATTTATACTCCTGGGTTCCCTTACAAAAATGTCCTATAGGATCCTATAAGAGAAAATCTTATAGGAATCTTATAGATTTTTCGTCACATCTATAGGATCCTATAGGATTATTTCAATAGATATCCTTTAGGAATCCTATAGGA